ACACACATACGGGGCGTCCCCAGTGCAGTCAACATGCCGACATGGCAAGATACTTAACCCTGAGTTGCTCCCGATGGCCAAGGGTGATGTGTGAGCAAGTTGCACTGCCCTGTGTGAATGAGGTCTGAATGGGTGAATGACTTGTAGCTTTTACAAGTGATTTGAGGGGTTGTAAATACCTGATCATGCGCTCTAGTACCAATTACCATGTACCATTAAAGACATACACGCAAAGACAGTCCTAAGAAGAAAACAAACATTTGTGAAAAATATTCTTCATGTAAATATGCATACTAGCATTCTACCAGACAATCTTTCTTTCTGTCTTACACACACATGGGACCCCCCCTCCCTCCAACACCTCCACCCAGGTCTCTGCTGGCCTCCTTTCCCAGCCAGTTCTGACAATGCTAATGATCCTCACTGGGGCACAGGATGACGGGTGACAGAGGCAGCCAGACCAGGGCTGGCTGACGATGGAGGGGAAGGGGGTGGAGATGGGAAATTAGTGTGTGTGTGTGTGTGTGTGTGTGTGTGTGTGTGTGTGTGTGTGTGTGTGTGTGTGTGTGGTAGAGAGTAGTAGTGTGGTGTGTGTGTGTGTGTGTGTGTGTGTGTGTGTGTGTGTGTGTGTGTGTGTGTGTGTGTGTGCGTGCGTGCGTGCGTGCGTGCGTGCGTGCGTGCGTGCGTGCGTGCGTGCGTGCGTGCGTGCGTGCGTGCGTGCCTGTGTGTGTGTGTGTGTGTGTGTGTGTGTGTAAGGGGTGGGGTGGAATAGGGGGTCAAGGATGGTGGTGTGCAGGCCCCTTCTCTGGTGATGTGTCGGGAGAGATGCACTATTCCAGGGCTCAACGGTAATTTATTACATTTAGGACAGGGCCTGACACCCTGAATCAGCCTCCATTCAGATCACATTGGCTGGGCTGGGTGGTGGGAGGATGTATGCAGAGGAGGGGGGAGCAGGGGGGGGTAAACACAAAGGAGGAGAGAGCAGAGAGAGGAGGAAACAGAGAGAGAGAGACTCCATGGAAATGATATGCGATGAGGAGAGATGTAGCCTGGGGCATTGTGCATGTTTTGCTTGTTTCCTTATAGTTAGTGTATTTATAATTCAAATATATGCCTTTAATAATTCACTGACGGGGCATATCAAAGGAAAGTGTGTAAAATAGTTCTGAAAAAATAGAACGTGCTGGAAATATTCAACTTCTTGAGCAACCACTTTATCAGTGTGAATAAGGAAGACAGATGATGAAGACACAGGACACTACAACTGGAGTAAAAGAGAAAAACAAATAAAAACTTGGATATTATTAAATGGGTCATTTTTTTTGTCAGTTCGATACAATTTTTATATTTTACGATTTTTATTTTTTTCCAAAATACTTAATATAATGCTATGTGTTTCGTAAAAGTGTAGTCAAGATGGATGCAAAGCTTTAAAAAATAAAATCATTTGAAGGGATTTGTTTTGTTGCATTATGGTGCATTAACACAGTCAAATGTTTTACTACTATAAAAGTATTTTAAAAAATATTACACAAATCTAAAATAATAAGAAATAAGAGGGACTGCCATATACTGTATATACTAAGATACTTAGAACATATAAATATATATATATAGACATCAATATTGCTTTGATGTTCTTATAATCATGTAATCTCTGTATTTCGACAGTATGTTGTTTTGTGTTTGCTGATTTTTACTATTACAACTGCACATTTTTGTGATTTTCCACCTTTAGTGGCTTTTAGATTATTTCAACTAATAGCACCACTCACACATAAAACATCATCAGACTTTATAAAGTTGTTCAGCGGCTACACCGTGCCGGCACCACACTAATTGCGCCGCATAAATGAACAGGTGCGGCTCAGTTGAGGCTCCCTCCGCGAGGTGAGGCCCCCTCCGCGAGGTGAGGCCCCACACAGTCTGAGTGATCTTCCTGTAGGGAGGGACGGCCCTGGTAATGTGTCACATGATTTAGATTATTTTCATTAAAAAGGGAAATGTCATTGATCAATGAAGATCATATGTGTAATTATTATTATTAATTATTATGTAATTACAGATCTGTTTTGCCTGGGCCTTCTCACAGCTTGCTTTATCTTATATTATCAGTTAACTATAAAAAGATGTGCAATATAAACTTTATTTTTGTCACTCTATCAATGCTATTACTGGCTCCTTCAATCTCTTTTTTATGTTTACTTTTTATGTATTTGATCTTATTTTTACTTATGGCAATCATCACTACACTGTACCTTTGCTGTTTCCCCCACAGAAGGATGACTAAAGGATCTCTGATTCTGATCAGCACTAACCCCTTTCTGAGACATGCAATAATAATCTGTTGTCTGCCTTGTTCATCTTTGGCAGCTACTGCTCTCAGTTCATCTTCCGTGCATGAAGAACTTGCTTCAAACAGTGACCATTATGTCGCATGTCACTTTTGTATACGAAATCACGTTATATTTGAAAAATATCGGGTCATCCTTTAGGCATAAGTCTGGACGTTGGAAGGACCACTAGGGCGCTTCATGGAGTAGAAGTTTTTAAGTCCCAACTTTTCATACCAAAATAAGCTATCATTCGCTAAAGCCTTAATGAGATGATCATTTTATATGAATATTATGCAGAGAGTAAAATGAAACATTGACTTTAATGAAATGTATTATGACAACAGATTTCACCTTGGTATTAGGTTAGTTGAAAGCAATAATATTAAGTTATATTATTAGGTTCAACTAAATATTTTTAACTAACCTAATACGGTTATTTGAATTGTGTTGACACAATACATTTAACGTTAAGTCAACATTTCTGTTTTTCCTTGTTATTTAGTCTTTGGAAGGACCAACCTCATAAAAGTATTCCGGTTAGCGGCTCAGAGGCTAAGCCTTAAAGAGCTCTGTTGATTCAAAGATGTATTGTAATGTCATATACATAACTACGGTGTGATTATACAATGAATGAAAAACAGGTTCCTGTACAGTGCAATTAAGAGACCTAAATTTTAATGAAAATAGTGCAAGCTCAGGTGGGATGAAGTTGTCCCTGAGTCTGGTGGTTTTAGTCCGGATGCTGCGGTACCGCCTGCCAGACGGCAGCAGACAGAACAGTTTGTGGCTGGGGGGGGTGGGTCTTTGTTAATCCTGAGGGATTTCTTCCTGAGCCGCTGGGAGTACAGGTCCTCCATGGATGGCAGCTCCGTCCTGGTGGTGTGCTGTGCAGTTTTCACCAGCCTCTGGGTCTTAGGGAGAGATGGTCCAGCAGGGAGTTATTCAAGAAGAGAATAACTGTCTCCGTGAAGACATCGCCCTGATAGAAATTGCATTCGATGGATTAAGTGACAAGTTACGTAACCACAAAGAGGGGCTGAATTACTTGTTTGCCCAAGTGACCATCATTCTGAAGGTTTGATACCTGCTGCACTACATGTCAGTGTGTACTTGGGTGAGACATTTGACCGAGTGGGACTTGATGAACAGGTTACTGTAGCTTCTTGAAAGGCAGCTCTGCCACCACTATGGGTCAAAGAAAGGGTCATTTTTAAGTACTTTGTCTGATAAGGTAAAAAGGCTCCAAGTGTGAATGAATTGCATTATAATGCATGCATTATAATGCAACAATAACTTAACCACCTGACAGGATATTCACTGTGACAGTTAGCAAGTTTAAAGTGTTGCAAATGCAACTCAAGCCGATTAATTATCGGAAGGAAGGAAACATTTTTGATTCAAAATCTTTAAATGCTTTAGAAAATTGTCGGTGTTAATGTTAAGCACAAATTATTTTCCAAATAATTGATCAATCAACCATTTCCTACAGAATCAATACCTACTACATAACAGCACTTTGGTCCTTTTAATTTAGTTGGGTTTGCCATCAGAAAAGAATAAATGCAGTCAAAACAGACTAGACAAAAAATAATAAAAACAGACACTGCACATTCTAGCTTTTTATATATTAATGCATATTATAGGATCAGGGTCTGATGGTCTGATCCCTAAAACAGGATGTCAGTCAAGATGACTCTTAACCCGTGAAATAATTTGACTTTATGGCAGAGAAGAGCATGATGGATACAATTACACTGAAACATTGTGTCTCTCTTTCAAATGCATAGTGTTTAAACATGTTTTCAAAAGGGATCAATCTTTTTCTTGTTCTTGTTCTTGTTCTTCCTTTTATATTTTTACTTTAACTCAATTGTTTTTGTTCATATCTTTATTTATTTGTTATCTTTTTAATTGAGTTTATTTAATTCCTTGTGATTTTATTTGTATTTTCTTATGAAACATTCTTCTCATGATTATAAATATATCTTTATTTTTTGGTCTTTTTATTACACATTACTCCTTATGTTTCACAATCTATTATTCTCAAATGACGTCACAAAACCCAGTTTCCACCGGGATGAATACAATATTTTGATTCCCTGACACATCCTATCAACATGTATTTTTCCTATAGGCTACAGAATCAATACCTTCGTCCGGGTTTATTTTGAAAGTAATGACCGGAAGTCCCCCTTTAAAGACACAGTAACTTGTCAGGGACTGGTTGCGCCCACCCTTCTCCTCCACGCTCCGTCATCAGCGTGTCCTGCAGATCAGCGCGGGCTATAAGCAACTCCCTCTCCAAGCCGCGGACAGAGAGCGTGTCGCGCAGAGACATGGACACGAGAGCGCACTGATCAGAGGACTTAGCCGCGGACCGCCAGCATTCCTGTGATAGAGACAACTGATGCTCGGAACTAACATCAAACACATTTGACAGATTAGCTCTGATCCTCCCGTTGAAGGACCAGGGCAGCGGCGTGCCACTTTACCAGTGCGCCTTTTGGCACTCGTGACGCGAGAACAAATGCTGTTTGTGATCACTTTGCTTTGATTTCAAGCGTTATTGATTTTCTACAGAACAGGACAGGATTATAACTCCCGCTTGGATTTTAAAAGTCATCTATTTCCTCAACACCAAACTTTTCTGATCGTCTGGAGATGGCGCAAAGGGTAAATCCTATATTGATGCATTTTTATTTTTTCAAATGTTTTGAACATGGGCATCGTTTAATGTATAGTTTACGCACTAATGACGTGCAGACAAGATAGAGTGTGATTAAAAAAAGCTCCTTAAGCAAGTGGTTCACCCTATAGCCTACTCATATTTTCATGTATTTTCATGAAACCCAAATGCAATGCCTTTAACGATTTAATGTACACATTTAATAATATAATGATTCACGCTTTTACCGTTGTTATTGTTTTACCTCTTCGGTCACATAATGTCATCTCCAACTCTCACCCCAGTACGATGAGCTGGCTCACTACGGAGGCGCCATGGATGGAGTCGGGGTCCCGGCCTCCATGTACGGAGACCCGCACGCCCCTCGGCCACTGCCCCAGGTCCACCACCTGAACCACGGGCCGCCCCCCCACCCGACCCAGCACTACGGAGCCCACGCGCCGCACAACATCATGCCCAGCAGCATGGGCAGCGCCGTGAACGACGCACTGAAGAGAGACAAGGACCAAATCTACGGGTATGGACACATTATTATTATTTATATTGTATTATTATTATTATTATTATTATTATTAATATTATTATTTGTATTATTTATTGTTATTATTATTGTATGTGTTTATTTTTATTATGAGAGGAACTTAACGATTGCACATGTTGGATTTAGGCACAGCGAATCATTTCACATAACAGAAAGCCAAACATTCCGCCTCAACATTTTTGTTTTTCCCTTATTTTTTATATATTAATATGTTTTTTTCATTAAAACGAAATGTCAAATACTTTTCTTTCCTGTTTTAATTATATAATTATTTTCACTGCATAAAACGAGACAAAATACCAATAGTGGTGTAAAAAAACTGTAATATCTGAAGAGGTTGTTTGCATTGGAAACAGATGAGATAATCTCCCATATCAGCGGTGCATTTCTCCTCTTGAATTAAGAAGGAATACATACATATTTGTTTCAGTTTGCAAAGCGGTGTTCTATTGTTAAACCCAGTTTAATGTGAGCTGTTATCTGCGCAGCTTTGTTGTACAGTAGGCGATAGTTCAGGCCTAACAATGGCTGCAGACTAACGGCCTGTGTTTCTGCTGCAGACACCCTCTGTTCCCGCTGCTGGCTCTGGTGTTCGAGAAGTGCGAGCTGGCGACCTGCACGCCCCGAGAGCCAGGGGTCGCGGGGGGGGACGTGTGCTCCTCCGACTCCTTCAATGAAGACATAGCTGTGTTTGCAAAACAGGTATAGGAGACGACACTTATAAGGGTGCCAATTGCGCAAATACGCAAGAAACACCTCCACATTATTTATTTACATATCATATTTCTTTTACTTGTATATGGACTCTTCCTGCACTATTTCTATTGTATTTCTATTTACTTGCACATCTCAAAACATTGTCTTGCACTATTTCATCTGTTTTATTTGTTTTATGTCCTATATGTTGCACTGTTGGAGGAGCCTGTGATTTGAGTTTTTCATTGCCAAATCTACACTGTAGCTAATGTGCACATGACAATAAAGCCTTGAAAATGATGGTGAGTCTAAAAAGTAAATCAGTATAAAAGACACTAACTGAAGCATTTTATTTATTTATTTTCTTCAGATCCGCGCAGAGAAACCTTTATTCTCTTCGAATCCAGAGCTGGATAACTTGGTAAGCATTTCCTTTTCTTTCTTTCTTTCTTTCACGTTTAATTCTCCTGTTTTCTATGTGTTGCTCTGGACTTCACAGACTGGCTCAAGGCAACCTCATCATATCTTAATTTGCCTACAGGTTTTTAAAACCAAATCATATTTACATTATGCTGGTATTGCACACAATCATAAGTATTGTGGCACCCCAGGCACCTCTCTAATAGCATTTCTCATTGTGTTATCATCTCATTTTCTTCTGGAGTTTGATTTAAAAAAATGTCTCCTTATTTTTGCAGATGATTCAAGCAATTCAAGTCTTACGGTTTCATCTCCTGGAATTAGAGAAGGTATACAGGCTATTGGCTAAGCTTTATAAATGAAAATAGTGCCATATTTAATCATATCATTGCATATAATATTGAATGATCCTGATGCTCAGACTGTGAGAATCTAAATGAAACACTGGATTTTGCAGGTGCATGAGCTCTGCGATAACTTCTGCCACCGGTACATCAGCTGCCTGAAAGGCAAGATGCCCATCGACCTGGTCATAGAGGACCGGGACGTCTGCAAGTCTGACTTTGACGACCTCTCCGGGTCCTCCACCAACCTCGCAGAACATGTGAGTCAACCTGCCTGCCCAGAATTCATAAAAAGTGTCAGTCTACATCACAGCGCTCTGTCTTAGCAGGTCTTGAGAAGCAGTAGATGCAGGAGGATTATTTGTTTTGCATAGGGCCTTATTCTGATCGTAAATTGGTCCTTACTAAAATGTTATCGTGACTACGTTGTGAGCAGTTTGGGGATGCTTTGCCACATGGAATAATATTCTGCTTTAAATCCGCTTAAATCACATACTGGAAAGTTTAAATGCTCCAGGCCTCAAAGAAAGATTCAGATTCTACAAATTGTGAAAAGTCCCTGTTTTGGTGCAAGAAGACATTGCTTCATGTTAGGAGGTCATCAAGCAAAAGGCTTGAGACTCGCTGTAGACCAATGCATTTCTCAACTTTTATTTACTGAAGCATCTATTTTTAGGATAAAATATTTACCCTTACACCAAAAGGTATTTTAACTTATTACAATATCTGATCATTCTAATGAAACAGGGTGCAGTTGTTGGGTTGGGTAAGGTCTTGGTGGCTTTAATGAAACCAAGCCTTGTTTTTCTTGGCTTACTGTTTGATGGCCTGTCAGTGCTGTGCAGAGCCTTAGCCGAAGATCTCAGCTCTGTTAAAAATAATCATAATATGGACAGTTGAGATTTATTTTTTTCACGATTATTTTGGGCCAGTTTAGCCTTAAGCTGGATTCAAACCTGTGTCCGTCACAGAAGGAACTGAGCCCCAGTAGGCCTACATGGGAACAGTACAGATGTGGTTTGAATCATATTTTAATGAGGTGTTGCAACTTTATTTATCTATTGATTTATAAGGTAGACACAATTGATGATGATGATGATGATGATGATGATGATGATGATGATGATGATGATGATGATGATGATGATGATGATGATGATGATGATGATGATGATTGTATATATAGCACAAAGTGCAGCTGCAAGTGCTGTGTTTGCTGTTGGGCTTCAGTCCCCTCTCAGCCAATAGGATTATTATAGCGACAGTGCGGGGGCTCTTTGTCAGGCGCCCCCCCTGCTGTGGGCTTTACACAGTCCTTCCTACTTTTGGCACCTGTGTTCAAAGAAACAAATTCAGATGTTGAAGTGATTGCGAGTTACAGTGTAGCATCAGCAGTGTTGGACCCTATAGGTTTATCGACACAATGCTATAACTCAGACTGAAAACTGAAAACTTTATATTTTAATGTTTCATGTTGGATAGCGGTTCTAGTATCATTCCCTTTTTATTTGAAGGGAAATGCCTCCATAGATGGTAGACTGTAATCTGAGCTCTGGTTCTACATTTTTTAATGGAGTAATGTGTTTTAGTTGATCTTAATCCTTTTTTAAATATTCAGGATGCGGATAATATGTGTAACATTTGAAAAAAAGCTATATTTTCTGTAAAATGAATGTCAAGGCTACTTAAAGATCTCTTGAAAATAGAATAAAAAACTAAGGATGCACCGAATATTCGGCCACCGAAAATTATCGGCCGAAAATGGTTAAAAAGGCCCTTTCGGCTTTCGGCCCCCTCGAGAAATGTCAGCTGAACACGTTTTACAAATCGTAATCCGCGCCTCTTTCTCTGATATTTTGAAATATCTCCAAGCGGCAGACATGTTGGCTGTGAGCCAGCCGCGAGCATGGTCGCGCGCCGTGCTTGTCGCCGCGTTTTGATTACGTCATCACAACAACACGTTAGGTTACCAAACTTATAGGTGCATTTGTTGTTGTTCAAGGCCTGGCTGTTACAGTCTTTATTTACACTATTTTGTTGTAGGCCTACTGGCCTAGATGTTTATGCAGTTTTAAAGCACCTTGGCTTTGTTCTGAATGCACTTTGTTGTAGTTATCCTACAGAGAAAAGAAAATGCACTTGACTTGGAATTAATGTACTGTATGCATTCAAAAGTGCTGAATAAATGTTTTATGGACCCATAATAGTGATTATTATTTAAGTTAAGTTTTGCCATAATCATATATTTTTCCATAATCAGGCAGCTGAACAACATTGGTAAAAAATGTATACATTATATATATATATATTTCTATTAATCATTTTCGGCCTTTCGGCATTCGGTTTTCGGCCATCTTTTTCCTATTTTCGGTATCGGTTTCGGCCAAGAATTTCCCATTCGGTGCACCCCTATAAAAAACGCTTTGGTTCAAAAAGAATTATGTAACCTAGCACTATATTACGTGCCAGAAAAGAGGCTATAAAACCCTGGCTTAAAGGCTGTTTTAGTTGGACTTTTTTTTAACAAAACAAGATACAAGATATAGTCTGGAGCTTTAGTGGAAGCGTCAGCATGGACTTTGGTTATTTCATCAACATACATTTTCTTTGTTCTTGAGAATGCATCAAGCAGCCACACACAGTGCACATGTTTTACGTGTGTGTGTGTGTGTGTGTGTGTGTGTGTGTGTGTGTGTGTGTGTGTGTGTGTGTGATTGTGGTGATTGTGTGTGTGGTGTGTGTGTGGTGTGTGTGGGTCTGTGTGGTGTGTGTGTGTGTGTGTGTGTGTGTGTTGGTGGATAGTCAGCCCTGCTCAGCTGAATGTGATAGGATTACACTCTCAGCTTGCTGTATTAGCCTTCCGTGCCTACAGGATGTGTATGCATAATGGGATGTGCCGCCCGCTCTCCTATGTACAAAGAATGCACATACATCGTGTGTAATCGTAATGCATGTAACGTTAAGTGTACTTGTGACAGTGACAAGTAGGCTTGGGACAATTAATCTATCAACAGAGGGACTAAAGGCATTGCGGTTTGAGTTTAAAGTATGTTTGTGTGTAAAAACCGACATGTGATCATACGTTGATGGCCATAGGCCAGGTTCTATTCCTTAGTCACGGTAAAGGCTTCATTTGCCTGAAAGACCTGATTTGTTCACTTTTTTATCCCAGCAAAAAATCCCAATTGAACATATACTCTTATTGCGAGAGTTCCTGCAAATGTCAATCTACCTCAATCAGAAGTCCAGCAGTTAAGAATTGTATGTTTTGTAGTTCCAAAGTTTTAAACAGTAAGAAAACTAATTGAGGGCTAATTATTTTCTAGAAACAAATAACAGAGCCATAAGAACTGCCTTGATGTATCAAAGTTATTTATATTGGAGATTATAAAATATATACACCTAAGGTTGGTACAAGATGTAATTTGATTAATAAGCTATCAACACTTTCATCATTTTTTAGCCAGTGCCTGATGGTTTATCAATAGTTATGACATTTCAACCCATGTCCTGATTACAGAGAAATATGGGTACCACTTTACAATTAGATACCTATAAAGGATTCATAAAAGGGTATAATTAAGTTAAGGCATTAGGCTGTAAACACTTTATTCATCATTAAGAACCATTTATAAATCAGTTCTAACATAGTTTTCATACATCAACACAGGCTCACTATTTGGCAAGATGACTAAGCCTTATATTGGCTACTTAGCGAGAATCAACTCAGTGAGCAACAGATACCAATGATGCTGGCTGATGAAGAAGACAAAGTAAGCTAAGTAGCCAATATAAGGCTTAGCAGCACAGATAAATGTGGGCTCACTATTTGGCAAGCAACCAGTCACAGTTGCCCTGTTTATCTCATGTCCTATAAAAGCTTATTAATGATTTATAAAGTGTTCACAACCTAATTAATAAATGAATTACAAACTATCCATAAACACTTTATAAGGGTAGTCTTATTGTAAAGTGGTACCGAAATAGGATTACATATTAGATAGATATATAGATCTTTATTTGTCATTGTACAGGTACAACGAAATTACAATGAACTCAAGGTGCCAACAATTATATTGTTCCTGCTGATAATATTATGCAATAATGATCTGTTGACAGAATCAAAGCAAGGACCTTAACCCTAACCCTAACTGGTCATTGCTTAGAGACATTCAGACCAACTCCTATGCTCAACAGAAGCAGCCTAACACACTGGGATAGTGAACTTTGCATACAACTATACATCAGGAATATGTAACGACACAAACAGCCACAGGTCTTTTAGGTGAGGGCACAGAAAAACAACTCTGAACAGTAAACAGTAAACCCCAACCCTAACCCCAACCCTAACCCTAACCCTTACTATCCCTAAAAGTAACCCAAATTAAGTCATTATATTAACCTAAGAGCGATTCTAGCCAATTGCTTAGCTGGCAGATTAATAATGGTTTAATCCCACCCAGTTTGAGTCGTGATTTTGCTCCAAAAACATACCTCTAATCACAATATTTGCCATGTTTGGAAAAAAAGATGTGTATACTATTATTAGTACATTTACTATCTTTAGTTTGCTGCTGTCTTTACGAGAGTTTCCTGGATAACAAAGAGAGGACATGTGCCACTGTATAGTTAACACAAGCATACATCTTTGGTAGAATTATCTTCATTTGTGAATGAATCTTATACACATTCAGATCCTGGCAGTACACTACTTTCCATTTCTGTTAATTGGATTTTAACAGATGGGGTGTTGAGAAATAAGACCTTCATTAGCTTGATAAACGTGGAAACATATGGCGCCTCTTTGAGTAGCTGTGTGTACTTAGGAGTTGTAATTATTGGGTGGCTGGGTAAGAAAAGAAGGGCCATCATTGAGAGGCCTCGTTCACACTGCGCCATTGTCCCCACGCTTCTTGTTGTCATCTGCCGAGCTCTTCATCTGATCACCATCCGGCAAACAGCTGACGCAGAGAGGCTGAAGAGGCAGATCTGCTGTTTGGTTTGGGCTCAGGCTGTCTGAGTGGCCAGGCCCATCAGCACAATAAATACAGGGTCTGTCCCCGACTCAGGTCACAGAAACATCCAGACTCAGAAGGGTGCACATACTGCAGGTTTACCACTCCATGCTCTAAAGACTTGCTGATTCTCTTTCGGAAACTACATTTGAAGCTCATTTTGCAACAGAATGGTAATGTCTTCGATTTTTGACAATTTCCTACACTGAACAAACTGAAACATTGACTTAACTTAACATATTTCACATAACTGTATTAGGTTAGTTGAAAGGAATAATATTACGTTGAACTTACATTATTTGTATTTATACTTAATATTATTGCTTTCAACTAACCTAATACAGTTATGTGACATTTGTTGACATAATACATTTAATTGAAGTCAACATTTCTGTTTCTTCAGTCCATGCTAATCAAGAAGCTGTCTTTGTGTCTTTGGGAAACTGCATAATGGACCTCATACTGGACCCTAATGGACCTTCCTCATCTTTTTCCCCCTGTCCTCTCTTCTTCTCCCCTGTTTCCTTATCTCCTGTCTCCTGGTGTGTGGGCCTCTTCCTGACCTCAGAACCCAGCGTCCTGGAGAGACATGGATGACGCCCACTCCACGCCCTCTGTGGGCACCCCGGGTCCGTCCAGCGGGGGACACGTCTCTCAGAGCGGGGACAACACCAGTGAACTCGGTAAGAGCCTCCTGCGTCCTCTTTCATATCAAAGCTTTGACTTTCCTGTGACCTCTCTCTGAGGCAGGGTGACTGGGGGGGGGATCCTTTTCAAGAAAGGTCATGCACTCATTTAACTTAATCACTTTATCTTGATTGCATTGATAGACACAGATCATCTGAAGCCAGGCAGGGATTTAGTCTTACTGTAACCCTGACATGCATCAATCTGCAGCTGAAAGAATTCGCTGATAAATGTCTTCCTGTTTGCTGAAAACTGCAGTTGCCTCAGGAAATTGCTAAGTATTTTGTTTTTCAAAGGAAACTGTATATCTGTGAGCCATTTGATTATACATGTATATCTTCTGTATATACCAATAGGCTTTTGGCTGAGTGCTACAGGTATGGGAAAGTAAAAAAGTATCAAGATAACTTCTACCAATCAGGACAGAAAGGCATTTATATATTTGTATGCAAGGTTAGGAGTCCAAGCAACATTGTATCATATAGGAAAACATTTACATTGTAAATACCAAATCATTCTTAAAAACTGGTAAAAAAAACAGTCATTTTAGATTCAATGCTTGCAAGTTTGACTACTTTTTACAGCAACAAATGGAAACAAATGCACAAAAGATTCTCTACTCTCCCCTAAAGTGTAATCCTGGTGGAGTCATTCTTCTAAATTGTTTCTATAGAACATTTATTTGGTCATGATTTGATTTATCACACCTCTTATTCTAATACCTCTGCTACAGGCTTGATTACGAAACAATCTCAGAACAAACGCAGTGTTGATTTTGACTTTTTTAATGGGATTTGTTGACAGTAAGAAAATGATTTATACTTTGATGTAATAAAAACATCAACAGGTCTATTCATGTTGATTTTAACATGCAATTGTGGCTACAATTTTATGGTCTCAATTATAGGTCAGTTAGTGCTGATGAAGAGATGTCTGCTGGTATTATCTGCCACTGTCCCTGATATATAATTCAGCCGCTCCTTCTTGTGTCACCCGGGTGTTCCTGCGCTTAATGTGATTTCTGATGTGCTAATTGGAGGCTATAAGGGTTTTATGGCTTGTTTTTGTTTTTCTCCCCTTTGGGCGCAGTAAAAATAGAATGGACTTTAAAGCAACTTTCCACCCTGTGCCCATCAGGCATCAAGGAGCAGAGCATTGCAGAGAACAATAGGAGGATGCTTTGCAAGACAAGAGAAACTCAGGATTAAGAGACATCAGAAAGAGATCTTTTGAAAATGATTCAACCTTCCCAACTCAATTCAAGTCACCCTCAGAATTTGACATGTTAGTTTTGGTAAATCTTAATCCAACCATTCAGTTTCCATGTGTATGTTGAGGCGAGCCGAGAAAGGCCACAGGGTGAATAGCTTCTTTCCTTTAGGCTTCTTTTAAACAACAGAGGGGGAAAACCCAAGGTCCCTGCCCTTTTGACCTGCGGGAGAATGCATAGGGGATGGGAGTGCAGAATGCCCCCTGAAGGGATGTAAGGACAGAGTACTTTATGTATGAGGAACAAAGGGAGAGAAGAAGGCAGAATGATCAGAGCTGTGGTTGCTGCTCCAGGATCTGCTGCATGCTACCTGCTGCTTCTCCCCTGGCCTCTCTGCCTTGTTTCCAGTCTATTCTCATGCCGGGGAAGACAAACACACACCCTGAAAGGCCCAAAAAGGACAGTTAGAGGCGTGTCATGCTAATCTCATTTGGAGCAGGTAGATGGCCTCTATTGAGTTGTAAGATAGGGGTCATATGGAGATCATCACATGTTTAGGGGAGTTTGATGCTTTGAAGAAATCTGAAGCAGAGTAGTTTATTAACTCCTGAGGAAGTTGGGTTTTGTGACAGTTGCTCCATGTTAGAATTAAATAAATAAAATGGAATACAAATATTTAAATATAATGAAATGTAAGATAGGAAGTTACAGTAAAGCATTGACATTTTCAAGAAATTGCATTCATATTAGGGCTTAAACATTTGGAAAAACAAACTAATAGCGATTATTTTTGAGTGATGTTGCAATTGCGATACTATTTAGTAAGTAGTTACTATCATAGTTGATCTTTAATAACATCTGTACCAAACACAAATAAATGCCAGGATATCTCTGCAGCTCCACAGTACTTTATTCAAAAAGGCTATTTAAACACTAAGCCTTTTGACAAATGCTTACTGTGAATTGAATATTGCACTATTCCATATTGCTATTTCGATCAAATCTGATTCATTGTGCAGCCCTAATTCATATGGCACCAAACTGCAATAACAAAAACCGGATCCAATTTAATTGCCAGTGCAGGAAATAGTGTGCCGTTGTGTAAATTTGAAGAAGTTGGATGGTCATCATGCTTCACGTGGGCCATCACAAACAACAGTGTGACATCATGATCACGATGTCCTCAAAATACTTCATCCAAAATCATTATTAAAGTTACAAATGTAATGTCACTCCAACAGAGCACAGGAAGTCATTGTTGAGCTTGTTCTAGTGGCATGTTAGTAATGCTTCCATGGTCTGATGCAACCTTTTAAAAGCCACTGTCATTAGGGAACACTTCAGTGGTGGTGATGTGGCTCCCAGCCCAGCTAACCACAAGTAGAGGATCCACGATGTGTTGCTGGTGGTTTGGGCTGAGGCTCCTCTGAAGCTCACAGGTTTTGGTTGTTGCCTTGTAAGCTGTGTGATATGCAGAGAGGGCTCTCTTTGATAGCTCAACCCCCAGGGTGACGGCTGTTGACCACAGCAAAAGGGGGCTGGGCTCTTCAAGGAATGTGTGGAAGGGGGGAGAACAGGGGGGGGCTGGAGATGTCCATCACAAAGACTCAAATAAAACAAAAGGCAGTGGGAGTGACTCGGAAATATCCTGCACATTCGCGTTGAGAAATGAGATGTGAGGAACAGGATGTGTTGCATCTTTTTGTCACATCCAGAGCCCGCGGTCAGGGGCAGGAATGTGGGGAGGTGGAGGTGCTGACATGCCGATGACATCACAGCTCCACTGACACCGCGGGCTAATGTCCCTTTAGCATCTGTCATGCTGTGGATGTCAGAAATGTTTCAAAAGGGAGCGAAGAGAAAGGGATGAATGCTGGGTGTAAAGGGAAAGAAATGTGCACATTGTTGTGAATCCTCCCGCTGAAAACAAGTAATTATTTACTGAAAAACAAAGGATAAATAGCTGTATTTGATGTACTTAAAGTCTGATGTCTGGTAGGCTTGTTTGGTCTTCACCATTATTTTAGGGTATCTTTTTAGTACATTGTTAGCGAAATTTATTGTTTTAACCCCAATGCATTGGATGGGGATGGAATTTCATTTGTGCAGGGTTAGGGTTAGGGTTTTCAATGCCGTCAATATCACATACGTACTTCTGTTCAACTACAGATTCAAGTAATATTTCTATTTTAACCAATCCTTTTAAACCAAATTATGAAGGTTTTGTTACATAAAAAAACTAAACAGGGAGTCAGTTTTTCTCCAAAGAATCAAATTCATGACCTGTCGTCCGCTCTACAATTCTTGTGTATGCCCAAATTAGATTTTCCCATATATTTATATAAATCCCTGCCCAATAATGCCCTTAAATTTGATACATCTCTAAATGACAAATGCAAATAAATTCAATTTGTATTGGATTTATAAATCAAGCTATTTGATGATGCCAGCATGCAAACTGCTTGCTTTAAAGAGTTGCATCTTCCCATCAGCTGCTTCTTATCGTCATGTTTCTCAAACAGAGGATGCCTCCTGTCTTGGAACCCTTCCAGACTGCTCCATTCAGAGTTGTGTATCATGTCTAATAAGGGGAGGAGCCCCGAGGTGTCACTGATGATGGATCATGCCCCGCTGAGCTCATTAGACAGGCTGCGCTGGCTTTGCATCACTGATGTAGCGGAGAGCCGCAATCAGTTCGGCTAGCCACTCCGCACTCCGTTTTACGGACGCTTCATCCACCAATACCTCAGCCAGTAGCAACAGAGCACAGAGTGAAGAGGAGACGAGAGAGGAAATAAAGCCTTTCAAATGTCAAGAGTATGCAACACATTCATCCCTGCATGTGCATTCATAGATTTTCATTTTCTTGAACATTTGAAAAAGAAACATCAATTGAAGACACATATAGTAGCCTATGTAATAAATAACTTATTAAAAAATATATTATTGTCTCTTTATGTATCAGAACGAGAATACTTTATTAATCCTGGGAGAAGTTGGTATCCGTGACAGTTGTTCCATTTGGAATGCATTTTTTTTTAAATATGTATTTATTATACAATTCATCATAAAAAGTATTTATGTAAAATAAGAACTTAAATCATTGAGAATACAAATAAGAATTTAAATAAGAATATAATTATTTTAATAAGAATAACATACACTAAAAATACAATAAAACAAAGATATTTATAGTATTGCACTACAACAGGTATATTACAATATTTACAGCAGTGTATTGGTATCAATAAATGCTAAATTGCACAGTTTAAAAGAGTTTAGCTTGCTGATGGTGAAGTAAGACCTGTACATACATCATAATCAGCCCCGAGGCAAAGATTTTACATAGCTCAAAAAGCCACAATGTTTAATTGAGAAAGAGATTCTTTATCAAAATGAAGCATTCTTCTTCAAATGTAGCAAAATGAAGACGTAGATTTCTGTAGTGTTTATAATATCAAATGGCAAAAAAAGGAAACAAATATTAACACTGAGATGGAATGGTCTAGAATAGAATAGAGGTATATGAGCAGCAGAGGCTGGAAGAGTAGGAAGACCCTTCATATCTTGAGGTGCTGTTTTTGTGAGTGTGTTTTCTTCATAGCCCCGGGGCAATACTCCAGCCATCCCTGCGGTAATGCCCTCCATCTCCC